GACTACTACGCCGTTGGAGCCGCCGACGGAGATATCAAGGTACACGTCACACATCTATACAAATAGACATACCATTGTATGAAACACTTTACTTTGTTCAGACTTAAACGTGCCTTTTGATGTTATTAATGCGTCATTCTTATATTACTTTGAAATCTCTTAAGCAAAAGGCGAAAATTCAATAGACACAAAGTACCGTTGTTTATAGCCTATCCATTTATAGAGATCAATGACGTATGCAGGCTAACTGAATAACTTTCTTTGGGTGTCATTTCTTTGTTTTAGTTAATTTCGTTAATATTAGTTGTATGTAGCAACTATCTATATATGTAAAGTATAGGGTAAAATACAGCTTATTGTATGTAGTCTTCATATTATAAAACCAAAGTATATAATGAAGTGAACAATTTGTTCGCAGGTGTTCTCACTGGCGACGCACCAGCTGCTGCACACGTTCGCGGGCGAGCACGCGCGCAGCTCCTTCTTCAAGCACATCGGGCAGGGCGTCACGCAAATACACATCGGTAATGGTCATTATTTCATTATTATGTGCGTACCCGAAGACCTAATATTAGTCTGCTACTCCTATTCACCTTTTTCTCACAAGAAAAGGTTGAGTAGAGGAAAAGAAATTGTCGAGGGATCTTTCTGTTCGTTCCTTCCTTTGTTGTTTAAAGGTAGGTAACTCATTTGCTAATGTGTATATCTGTGGCCAACAGTCACTTCGCTGTTTTGGCGAAGTCTAGTGGCCGTGTGCTCGTTAACATAATACGAGATTTCAAGTAAGAAGAAGTTGAATCAGAGAATATAACACTAATAGTTGTTTTGTGAGCGGTGTGGTTTTTTTTATATAAGAAAAGGGGAAAAACGAGCTGCGCGAATAGAACAATGATTAAGGACGCTAATTGTCTTGTTGTTATTGACTTGTTAGTTGTTTTGACTGACTTAACTTGATTGTTGTTGACTTGTTGGTTGTTGACATGTTTGTTGTTGACTTGTTTGTTGTTGACTTGTTGGTTGCTGACTTGTTTGTTGTTGAATAAATAACTAATAAATGAGTTTGTTGCAGACAACTGCGGGCGCATGTTCTCGTGCGGCGCGGACGGCACGATGAAGGTGCGCAAGCTGCCGGAGCGCGACGCGCCGCTGCACCAGCTGCACCAGCCCCACTACTGAACACCGTATATATTTATTTATTTAAATGTACAATAGCTATTTATTACAAAGTAGGTACATTATTGCCACTAGTGCGATTGTACTTTTTTAATCTCACATAGAATAATCTATTAAAATTATATTTTGTTAAGTATTGGGAGTAGTAAAACGATAACTTGCTGAGCACAGACTGTATTCAACCAGCTGCCATATTGATGGCGGTCGCGGCCACCAGTTCGGAAACAATACACAACATCTTTTACTAGCTGTTCCCATGCGGCTTTTCATTAAAACTTTTAATTAAAAATGTCAATATGTAAATGCTCAAGTGATAATGAAGGCCTTTTCTATTGGATCTATTGGATTCTAAATTTAAGTAACCATAGCAACCCTGATTCTTTGCTGGTATTGGCTCGTTTTGTCCCTTTCTCGCAGAGGTTTTTCCAATTTAATAGCGTAAAAATATATAGCCTAAAGCGTAACGTAAGTGTAGAGCTTAATATCAAAAAAAATATACTGCCATTGCTGATGTCCTACATCATATATTAGATGATAAAAAACGAATTAAAAACGGCTCCACTCACATATAATCTTCCGGTGACGGCACCGACTAGTGTTGTACCTGTCCGGAATCCATCTTAAGTAAAGTAAGACTGTATGTGAAAGTGGAATACGTAAATTGAGCAGATTTTAATTCGTTTTGATAAAGTTGAAATAATTTAAGTATAGACAATGTTTAATTTTTAGATAGATGAGATAGCTGCGGGCGGCAGCGGGGGGCAGCGGGGGCAGCGGGGGGCAGAGGGCGGTAGTGCGACTGTGATGTATTCGTTGTTGCTATGAAATGCGTATGTTAGCCGCCAGACTAGTCACTGGCCGGCGCGTTGTATCATTAGTGTGTTTGAAACCTATATGAATCTTTAGCTATATCTAGTACGAAATAATCACTATTTTTATCTTAATGTATCTTAGATGAATTATATGAAGAAATTATTTATTCACTATTAGTATAATCCAGTCCCACGGATGGCCTAAGTATCGATGTACACGATGTGCAAATACGTACTAAATGAGAATATAGTGCAATATCGCTAAACGACTAGAGAATGTTACAGCTTTAGATATTAGCTACAAATTGAGTCTACGCCACTAATATAAATAAAATAACGTTATTCCAATATAAATAAAAAAGTAACTAATAATGTAAGAATACTTACAAATATCGATATTGATATCGATATCTTTTTCAAACCTATCAACGTATCGATAATGATTGCGTCCTTAAAGTAACAAGTATCAAATGCATTATGTAATTTACAAATGGTAGGATTTTCGATGATATAATCTTTCAGATATTTAAAAAAATATGTTTTAAGTAAATTTTATGTTATAAAACAAGATGTTTATTACATGTTATTTCACTATAATGTATTTAATTAATTTCATTTATATACAGATGTAATACTTTCATCAATAACCCTAAGGGTTGGGGATGCCAGGATTAGTATATTTTAAATGGTAGCGTGACTCAGTTTGTAGCAATATAACAATATAGACAAGATGTTAGCCGTTTTATATATTTAGCTTGTGATGTGATTACAGACTCGTTATATAAACTTGTTGACGCATAATAATTAACATATTATATTTCAAATCTAACATATAATGGTCGTGGCTTACGTGTAACGTGTTAGAGTACTTTATTAAAAAAATTCTATCGTCGTTTAACAATTCGCTTCGTAATGAATGCTTGCGTATCCCCTTTTCTATTAGACGTAAGTTTCTCCTATTTATGTGTGTTGTATTTGTGTCGGTAATTGGTCATTTCGATTACTTGATTAAAAGCAATATTTTCAATTTGATGTTAATCGAAGTAATATAGTAATTTGTAATGCGTATTGTATGCCCTAATGAAACAGTATTATCGCAAATTGATGCGATTTTGAGAGAACATAATTGATTTATCGAATGGAAGAAAAACTTTTACAGCCTGAATGTTCGTGTGTAGCAAAATGTATGAGGTATATAAAATGCCTCGTGGCTATATTCCACTAAAATTACGATTATGTTTATTTATTTGGTTTTACATATTTACTTGTATGTTTTTAGACTATTTTATCTGCGTAACTATCAATTCAACGTATTATCTTTAAAGTCTGCCTCTAATACTGATGTCGGAGAATGTATAAATCATAGATATATAATCCATAGACACCCAATATTAACCACAAATGTCAGGCGAAAAAACACCTACGGAGGCCTTTTGTTAGAGTAAATTGCTATAGTGTTGTCATTTGCAAGACAAAACTCTATACCACTAGTAGTCTCGATTGTAAATCAGTAAATTGTGAAACTTCTGTGAAACACTCTATATATAGATTATATATCTATGGTATAGATAATGTATAATTTCTTTGTTTCTTGACATCCAGTATCGATCAAACTCAGATATTAATCAAGTGTTGCCAATCTAGAGGGCTTATATTTTAGATGGTGCCCTATCCTAAATGCTGTTAAAAGACATTAAAGTCGAAAGTTTCATTGTTTTTATTTGGTTAATTATTTCTAATTTTTTTAGGTTAATATTATTTATCCACCAAAGTTTATGTACATTGTGTACGATGTAAATTTCACTGCAAAATGAGTTACCAAATTTATTAGGTTCTATGTCGATTATTCGCACAATAATCACACCAAAACGTTAAAAACCCCCTACGCACTAAATATTTACAAGAAACATTGTACTTTTTAAAAAGTTACACAGTATTCAATAAAATTCATATTTCTATTAAAAAGCAACGATTAGTAATAAATGTTTTTGCCCGTTTAGTAAATAGTTGCCCGAATTACATGTTTGTGTAAGTATGCTTTAAAGACAGTTTATATTTTTACATTGTAACTTCTGGTGTTTTCTGTGATGTAACTGGGTTTCGACTGCCACAAGATTAGCATTCACACATATTGTTGTCTCTTTTTTGTCTAGGAAAGTGAAAGAGATAACAATATGCAAATGTCACTGCAGTCTAGGGATGGGCTGTTGACGGTTGACGAAACGAAAACTTTAATTTGCTTTTTCAACTAATCTAAAAACTTGTTAATTTTGTCAATGAAATTCCATAGACTAGTGGACGAAAAAAACGTGATTCACGGTTGATTCAAGTTGGTTAACGCATACCTACTGTAGTTGAAACCCACAGTATAGACCGAAAAGGCTATCTGACCCGGTGAGCATAAGTTACACTAAATGATGACAGCTCACTAGCGCCAAAATGTTTAAAAAGTCTACAAAATCTTTTTCATATTGTATCTGGCATTTTTTTACATATTTTTGAATGTACACAGTCAACCAATAGAAATGCTTCTCTCGCCGGACCAGATATCCTTGTTTGACTATAAGATTAAACTCTGTTTATTGTTACAAGACATTGTCATTGGGCTGTAATTTAATATTGTTCTATAGTAAAAAAGTAAACTTAGTAAATATTTTCTTTCATGCAACATCACAATAGTTAAATGTAGTTATCAAGTATGTTGATGCATTGAATAAGATAAATGTTTGGGATTGGAAGCATAGATAACAGTAAAATGTTACCTTAAGTTCACACTGATGAAACATTCACATAAAACATGTTTTTTTATTGTTAATGTAATGTGGCAGTGTGAATTTATGTTATGTGCAATATTCAGCCCATTCTGACATGTTTTGATTTAAAAATATAGCAATTTTAGTAAACCTACTACCTAACACACAGCAACAATGTTTGAATTGTGGACAATGTCCATATTAATGCTTATTTTGTTTTATTTATGAAGAAATGTTAAAATAAAGGTTAACTCGAAATAAGACTTTTATTTATATACAAGTTTATACATGGGAAATTTCTCCAAATAAGTACACTTAATGCTAAGTATCACTACAGATATAGTGATTAAATAAGTGCAATTGTATGATTTTATGAACAAATGATACTAGTTGTGAATTTCTTGAAATAGAGAAAAATTGCTCTACACAGAGGCTTCTTTTTACAATCTATTCCATTTTATGTTTGGCAATAATTTTACATCACCATAATGATCCAAATTTTTGTGCTTTGAAATAAAAAAGTTACAGACAATGGAATAAAAAATATATTAATTATAACAGTATCTATATATTATACTAAGTTAGGAATAATATAGTAAAAGCCATCAAGACACAGCATGTAGCAACATAGGGAGATTTTCTTTCACCAATCCTGGCACATTTCCAAAAGGTGCCGAGAAATCTGCAACAAGAACAACCAGTTTTTTACAAAACTTTAAAAGCACATTAGTTACATTTAGTGATATCTATTTAAAAATATGGAATATTAATAGTTTCTAAACATTAGTAATAATAATATATAGCCTATGTTACTCACAGATAAATTACCTTTCTGATAGTGAAAGAATTTTTAAAATCGGTCCAGTGGTTTTTGAGTTATTTCAATACATACAAAAATACAAAGTTTTCCTCTTTACAATATTAGTATAGACAAGAAATCTACTAGTATGAAACTTTAAATGAAGCAATTTCAAAATAACTCATATAAGACATTTAATTTAAATATATCAAAATATAGTTACAGGTCTCGTCACAGACAAAAACCATCAAATATAATTTGTTTGTCTGAAAAAAAAAATTAAATCCTACAGACAAACTAAAGTAATTCATTTTTATTTGTAACTTACCCTGTCTTATTGCGGTCCATAATGCTAGGAAAAAATGACCTAAAGTAGGCACAGGTGCATATCAATAACAAAATTACTGATAACAAGCTTTGAAAATTAAATATAGCGCTCTGAAACAAAAAAGTTTTAAAATTAACCTAAAAATGCAATTATTTTGACAACTGTGTGGTGAATTTATGCATTTAGATTACCATTTTAAAGCTTTAACATAAAAGTTACTATAAATTTAAAGAGCTATTCTGTTTTGAAAGTATGTTTTACCAATATTTCTTTACTATTATGATTATAATGGTAATTGACAATTGCAATTGACAGTTGACACATCATAAGCAAATATGTCAGTCAAATGACACATCTCAGTTTAGGACTTAGGATTATTGATTTCAACAAATTAAAATTTTGCAAAATCGTGTGTTTGAAGCATACTTGAACGTTTGTGCAAAATGTTTTCGTATGATGTTAACATTTTGTTAAAATGATTGAAAAATAGTCATTATTTTATTCAACTGCTGACAGTTATTTTTTCATATCTGTGATATGGTGTCCTCATTTATCTGGGCAATAAGCGACGTAAACATTAAAATGGGTTAGAAATGTTGTTTACATAAACAAGGATCGTAATTTATACTAATCAAGTAATCGATAGAATATTACTTAAAATGGAAGAAGATAAATTCGCTTTAGTGGAGCGAATAATCAAAGATATTCATGCGGTATTTTCTAGAATTGCTGAGTTGTAAGTATTTGCAAATTGGCAACCATTCAATCGATATTTTACTTTGTTTTTACACAATAATAATTTTATTAATAATTTTCTTTGTTCTCAGACGATCTTTTGATATTGTTCCCGTAGACACGAACTTCAGGAACAAGTCACCTGTTTTGTATTTAGAAAATTGTCTCGGCTTAGAGTCTTGGTGTATCAAGCATGTTTACATGTACTGCTATTCTGAAATAATGGACAGATATTGTCCTAAGGGGAGACGTAGAGTATTTAAAGTTTCATCACTGAATTCTGATCGTATGATTCAGTTACTCAATGTAACATTATTGCTTAATCCTGATTTAAACACTCTGTGGAACAAACGGCGTATGTTATTGGAAAAATCATTGTTGGAGAACAATTCTGAATTACATTTCACAAGATTAGTAATATCAAGAAAACCAAAATGCAATGATGCCTTTGCATACAGGAGATGGCTTCTGGATATAATTTTTGCAGGTATGGCATATTATAAGTTATTTTTATGAGATCTATTTGTATTTAGCAATAAAGTAATGTTAAAAAAAATGTAAGTCAAGACAGTTGATATTTACTGCCACAGTCTCACTTGTAATCTATAGATTAGATTTCTCTGACTGAGGGTTACTTAATAACCATTTAACAACTTAATGAGGCATTTAGTATAATTAAAACATTGTTAGTAATGTTTTTTTCTTTTACAGATAAATCATTAGAAATGAACAGTATTAGAGATATTATAAATGAAGAGTTGAACATTTGCACCCAAGCTTCAGACAGGAGTCCAAACAATTATCACAGTTGGAATCATCGCATGTGGTTTGTAAATAAACTTAAGTCTTTAGATAATCCTTTGCTGGATATTTTTAATCAATATGTAAAGGAATATAATTTTTCCGAGCAATGGACGGCTAAGAATGTCTCAGATTACAGTTGTTTTCACTATCGACAATTTTGTATAAAGAATGTTTATTTACTGAATGAAGAATCGTGGAAAAAGTTTACAATAAATCTTAACTTGAGGAAAGTTCTCGTAAGAATTTTGGCTAGTAACTTTCCAATTGATTCAACTATGCAAGTGTCTGAGGAAAATTTGTTAAAATACTCCGAAAGTGATTTAGTTAATTTGTTATTATTTCATATGGTGAAGAATTGTTCTTGCGTTTTGGACAATGTTTATATATGTCGAAAGTTAGAAATAATTTTCCACGAACTATCGGTTAATAATGAATTAATTCGATTTTACAAACATCATGAAACTTTGTGGTATCATAGAAGATTTATTGTGCATGAGATTATTGATATTATGTATGAACATTTCTGTTTGACAAAGAGTAATGGTGTTTTGGTTAGAAATACGTGTAAAAAATGTAGTTACGATGAGAGACAGAAGCAAGCAAAGATAGTTAGGTATGACACAAACTGTATGTACTCTAGTGTTCTCTTCAACGTAATGTTGACACATGAGAAAAAGTTTATAGAAGAAATGAGAAATTCAGATAATTATGCAGATAGACATGAAAAGTATCTTAAATTTGTTGAAGGATTACATCATGTTATGTGAAAATTCATATTTGTTACAAATGTTTTATACAGTTCCAAATGTAACTATCATCTAAGTAACTTATTTGTATGAAAAATTTACATTAACATTTTGCTGTCCCACTCATCTTTTAAAAAGGATATCTGTAATGAAACACCATGTTGTAAGACTGTTATTTTATTATACACTCTAAATGAACATAAAAGATACAGATTATAAATCAATAACTTATTTATTAATACAGATACCATATTAGATATTAAAATGTTTTTGTTGATTTGGCTGCCAGTATTAAGTACTAATACAATGAAAATAAAATTTAACAATTTTTTTTATATTCATGCAGCATGTTTTATAGTTCCACCAAGAATGAAAAAAAAGAATAAAGATAAAATTCTGGTTCTCAATCTCCTTTTTAACTTCATTTACTGATTTAGTATGGAATTAGTTTTCAATACTCTTATTTAAAACATGTACCCAAAGGGAATGGTAATAAAGATACTTATTTGTTTTTTTTTTCAATTATCATGTTTATTCTTGCCAAATATAACCTTTAAGGTTTATTATTTATTGTATGTATAATCACAGGTTGTATCGTTTTTAAAATAATAATGTATCACTAAAACAAACATGAGCAGCAACTTTCCTATTTTCGGTAAATTCCACAAAGCATATATCAATAATTTTTAATATTTTTAATAAGAGATAAATCTACTTTTCCTAGTTTAACTTAAGCAAGTATCTATAAATTTATTTATATAATATTAACTATGTTTAGAGTTATCACTTTTTAATGTACGAAAAACGCGTTATAGCCGTTATAGTTGTCAAGTGGACAACGTGCGATGACTTTAAGGAGAAAAAAGTATTTAAGAGTTGTATAGTAGTCGACGTAAAACACTTAAAGCTGTATACTTTTGTTGTTTTATAACTATTTAACATTTTTGTAAAATCTGCAGATGATCAGTTCTGTCAGATTTGAGTCAACAGTTCGATTATGCGTGGCAAATTATAACTGTCAATTCAATTGTACAGTTAAAGTTTTGCTGTTAGCTAACAGTTAACATCAAAAGTAACTTGCTGTGTAAAGTAAGTTGTTAACTGAACAGTCGAACTGTTCAGATAAAACTGACAGATCTGAGTGTATGTAAGCTTGAAATGACTGAAATTAACGTTTATTGTCCCGGTATTATGAATAGCATATGAATAAATTTCTGTTGTTTTTCCAATATAATTATATAATCTATAAAAGACATTTATATACTTTAATGAATAATAAATACCTGCTGCCAAAGTTATCTTTTATTTTATTGAAATACCTTATTTCCTATTTTTTAGCTTTACATATGTGCAAAATTTCACTATAAAGAATCCATTCAATAGAAATTAAAAAATATTTAGTTTATAAAAGGAAATCGCCATTTCATGTTTGCCTTCGCCTGTTTTATTTTTACTGTCAACAAATCGGATGCACGGAAATTGAAGTAACCGAGCAGGTTACAGCTCTGGAAAAGTATAACCTGCGAATTTAAAATGCATTTTCCTTTGAGGTAAATCTTGCGTTCTGTATATTCAAAGAGGAAGAAGACTTTATTCATAAAGCGACAGGTACGTTATTTCGCTTCTTTTAAAATGTCAGCCGACATCTTCATACAAGGGTCAGTGTCTGGCAAGTAATGGGGACATTTATTAAAAAAAAAATAGAAGCCCAAGAGAAATCTGAGAAACTGCTTTGTAGTTTTTTTTATCTGATGTGTAATCAAGTATTCCCGATAAATGATTGATTTTTCCGGGGCTATTACCCTCACACCGACAAGGTAACGGTCGGTGTGTTTAATGTGGGTCAGGAGACACGGCGTTACACTGACTACGGCTAGTGGACCTAACCAAGTAGATCGATTGTATTCAATGAATGAAAACCGATTATGAACTTAACACATTTGGATTAAGGTACATATTTGCAGGTTCTCGTGTCGAGCACATACTCGAACATCGGGCGAGGGTAGTCGCCAGTGACGTCACGACAGTGTCGCGTTCGCGCGCTCCTCCCGATCGATATTTGAATTCCGGCTCGTAGATTTCCGTTGGCGATCGGGAAATACCGAGTGACGCCGCCACCACGTGTATGTTACGTAACGCAGATGTACAACTCATTGACAGCGATGTTTCTATTACAAAGAAAAGATAAAGAATAAGGGAGATCTACGCGCGCTTGTTACGTAGAATAGATGTGGAGATAAACCAGCTTTGACGCAAAACTTTCGTTTATAAGGATCTTGAACCGGTTCGTTTATAGATTGACTAGTTAAATATATGAAAACCAAATAAAAACACTTGCGCACCGATCCTTCTTCTTACCTATTAGTCTCCTACTCCTACTCTATTTCTACTATCCGACGTGTTTGTTCTTTAAAGAGATGTTAATGGCAAGTGTTGTGCCAAATCGATGTCCTGTTATGTTGTTTTTCTAGCCAACAACAACAAAGGTGAACGTTACATACGTCACCAGATGTCTTATGTGACTTTTTGGACTCGATATCTCAATCTTAGATTGGAAATGCTCTTTGATTATATATTCGTAAGATGTTTTTCAACATTATGTAGTTTAAAGTAATTGTTTAAAAAGCTCTAGTTCTTTCTTCTTTTAGATCTGATCCTGTCATTAGCGATTAAGGTAATTGACGTATACTTTTAAAAAATGACGCAATTAAAAGAGCAGCTTATACGTATAGGCATAACACAAAAACAGAGAATATTTAAGAGAAAAGCTCACGCTCATTATGAAAATGTGCAAATGTCAAGGTTTTA